CGAAGCTAACTATAGGAATTCGGATAAAAGTGTACAGAAACCAATGAGAATTTTCCCCCCCAGAATTTACACAAAAACACGGGTATCAACTGTTGGTTTCGAAGAAGAAGATTGTCGGTGGATTAGGGCGCCGCTCGATCTGTGGAACTCCTTACCACCTGAGTGTTTCCCAACTGAACGCAATCGGAAAGACGATTTCAAACATGCCGTGTCAACATTGAACCTTTTTTTTGTAAAAAAAGCTACTAACAAGTGGGTCTAAACTTATGATCAATACAGTAGTCATAAATTATACGCTAGGCTAGCAAGGGGGACAATTGTCACAAGAATCTGAAACTACAGTAGACACTTGTGTGCAACACTTCCTCATAACAGGTATAAAAATAATATGAGAGCTGCTAAGGGTGGTAACGGTGGAGTGCACAATGTGCTCGGTTTGAGAATGCGCGCTCCGTGGACTCACGAAGATGCCCTGGAGGTCGCTAAATGGTGAGTTGCATTTCCATAATGAAAAGTTTTGAATATTTTTGAATCAGGCATGGTCAGAAGAAAAAGTCAGCGGTCCCCAAGATTGCTTCTTACAGGCTAAGGGTAATTAGATTTGTTTATTGTAGTTTCACCACTCTAGTGATATGAAAAACGCTAGTAAAAAATATTTTACGACTACTGCATATCACCGCGAATATCGCGTTTTTTACGACGCCACTTCACGTAAAACGGGTCGTGAAACTACAATTTATCTCATTTTTTCCAGAAATCATCTCTCGCCACTCCAAGACGACGTCTTGCAGCAGTAGTGCGGCAGCTCAAGCGTCCGAAACGACATTCGTAGTGGTGGCATGTTCCTGTGTTGATGTTCTTGTACCTCACTGAGTTTGTTTTGTTGGATCTTGTTATGTATGCTATTCTGGATGCTTTTTCCTCAGTAGATTTTCACCACCCTAGTGATATGAAAAACACTAGTGAAAAATATATTTCACGACTACTGCATATCACCGACAACCGGTGAGACTCCATCGTGGATATAACGACATTTCCGGAAAACATCAGAACCCAGCTGAGGAAACTTCACATATACCGGGAAACCAATGTACCATATCGTAAAATCCTCAAGCGAGGCTTCCTTCTTTGATCGGCTTTCCATACTCGCCCTAGCCTGCTAGGGTCAATCGCATCCCTCAGCCAAAGAGGCATCGACGAATACTTGGCGAGAAGGTTGAAGATACGCGATGTACAGACGACTCTCGATGGGAGAGGTTTATGGCTTCCGGACCAGGTATCGTAACAACAAAGAAGCTCCCATGGACAAATAATGATCCTTTACAATTTGATGAACACCTTTCTGAGAACGAGAAGCAGCGCAAGGTAAAAGAAGCTTGCTTAGGGCATTTACAAAAAGCTCAACTACAAGCTAACAATGAGGAGGAATTGCATGAACGGGCGATCCAAGAGACATAACGTATTCTAGAAAGTAGAAACAATTGAAAACATGGGTGTACTTGCACTGGATCTTGTGTAGAGTGTTTACGAATGAACGACGCCCAACGAAAGACTACAGAAAGATGTTCAGTTACACGTAACATAAGGCATCAGTAAGAACAGAGTTGACGATGAAAGATAACACGGCAACCGATGGTAACAAAGAAACGCAATTGCACATACGACGTGAAGGAAAATACAGATGAGCATAGAAGCGGCAATTGTCGGCACTAGCGATACGAGGGTTGAAAGAGGACAATCATTTACCATACACGCAGAGCTCACCAAGGCATAGGCGATAGTGTCACAGGGACGGGAGTAAGAGAGCGAAAGCGAGCATAGAGACAGATATGATTCATATCTGTCCTATTATTCATATCATGCCCCGGCAACCGAACCGAAATGAGTTCGGTTTCGATTTCGGTTTGATCTGCCGCGTGTTCTGTTTCGATCGGCTTCGGTTCGGATAACTTTTCCCGAGTTTCGATTTCGGTTCGGATTATCGGTTATCTCTCGGTTTTTTGATAGAATCGGTTACTGGGGCGG